ATTTTCCTGTTATTATTCATAAGGTCGTTCTTGGTATGCTGTTGAGGATTTTCCATGATGTACCTGCTATTTAATTTCAGTTGGCATCAAGAAAGAAACCACCTAGAGTTCAATAGCTTTTAAACTTGAGGGTTGACACCTTTTAGCTCTTTGAGACATTCTTGCAATCACTGCTTTAAATATTGATCGCTTCTGCTCTACAGTCTCTTTTCTTCTCAGTTGTCAATTGGTCAGTTCGTTAGAACTTTTTTACTGTGTAACACATAGATCTTCTTCTCCCTTTTCTTATTTTGTCCTTTATTTATATATTTCTTTCTTCTATACTCCTCCAAGGATATCGATCAATTACTTGGCGTTTAATTTATATTTCCATCTGAAATTTTATTTAAAGTGTTTACAGTAGTTTTTTTCATTTTTATTTTGTCAGAGAGCACATTCACTTACCTGACAGAAACAGAGAGAAAAGCGGAGGGACAGAGAGAAAGCACCTCAGTTCCTCAATACCTCCTCCATCTCTCCCTCCTTTCGGGATTTTGGATGTGTGTGTAAATGTCCCTGGCATGTTTTTCAAACCAGTGGGTCTGAGACTTGAACTGTACAGTCAGCCATGTGAAATGCAGCCACCATAACCATCATGCCACAAGTTGACCCTACTGTGTTTTAAAATTTAAATATTATATTGTTTATTCCTGTCAAGATAACTGATTTCTATAAATATATCAAATCTACTACTATATTAATATTTTATTCATTTTATCAATCTTTCCTACTCCCTTAAATGTATCAATAAGCATATCAGTTTATTTATAATGATTGTTTATGTGCTTTTTTTTGTATTTTTAGAGATATTTTTATAGTATGGCAAGTTCGCTTGTCAGAGAGACAGAGAGATAGAGAGACAGAAAGTGAGAAATCACCCCCCATGGGGTATGGCCACACTGCAATCCCTTCTTGTCCATTGTCCTCTTGAAATCTTGGGAACGCATGCACACGTACTCAGCATGAGTTTGAAACCACCAGGTCCAGTGTTCAGACCGTGGTTGACTATGTGGGAGTCCAGCCACGTAACCATTTTGCCGTCTCTGGTCCCAGTGGTAAGTGTGTATGTGTGTGTGTGTGTGTGTTTTTCTTACTTTATTTTTTTAATTTTTTTCATTTCATTTTCTTCCATACATTCAATCACATTATTATTTGTCTTACAAAATGGATATTAGTGTGTTTTAACTCTTGTGTCTGGATTAACTGTGGTCTTATTTCTCTTTTATTTGTTTTAGTATCCTTTATGTTTACATACCTGACCTATTTGTCATTGACTACTAACCATGTTTTTACTTTCTTTAGACTTATTTTATTTAATGTTATATATTTGTTTATTTTTAAAATTTGAGCAGAAAAGGACAGAGAGAGAGGAAGCTACCAGGTCTAGGACTTGAATAACTGTTTCCTAGGTGGGAGTCCAGTGCCCTTAACCACCATGCCACCCGCCGGCCACTACTAAACATGTTTTTAAGGGTTTTGTCAAGAAGCATGTGTGTTCACCAGAGAGAGACAGAGACAGTGAGAGGCCAAGTGAGAAATCATCTCCACGCCCCCTCCCCCCAGGGGGGGATGTCCAGGCCACAATCCCTTTTTCTCTATACTCCGCCTAAGATTTTAGGCACACATTCAGAGGCACTCAGGGTGATTTTCTGTCTTGGCCAGTGAGGTGGGAAGATGTGACCCTGAGTGGAAGTGGTGGTGGATTTGAAAAGAACAGACAAATACACAAACAGAGAAGAGCCGGGGTGGGGTGACCAGGCGTCTGTGATGGAGAGCACTGCAGCACTGAGCTGTTCCCAGGTTTATTCTTTTGTAGGAAATGGAAATGGGGGAGGGAGAAGCGGAAGGTAGAGCCAGGTTTTTTCCATGATCAAATGCAGCTGTGGAGAATCTTCTGTTCTGTAGTTCTAAATAAGCCTCCCCTGGCCTTCTCAGATTGATGCAAAATTTCCATTAATTTACGCCATGTAGTGCAAAATAAAAGAAAAGCAGATCGTATCCTTGTTAGAGTTTTCACTAGCCTTGCATCATCAGCACGAGACCATATCTCCACTTGCCTTTAAAGGTCACTTTTGTGTTGCTCAGATCTGACCACTCCTTACAATTTTAAAGCCACCAAGTTTGGGACTCCAACTCTGGTTGACCATGTGGGAGTCCAGTGTCCCAACGACCATGCCATCTACTGGCCCGAAAAATCTTTTTATGCCTCTAGAAAGTTATTGCTATCAATTATATAAGGAAAGAAATGAGACTAATTCAAACAACAATTATGTTAAATGGAAACTGGACATCTTTAGATAATGTCAGGGTGGGAGGTGAGATACATATTCTTTTATTTATTTATCTTAGGGTCCCCTCCCATAGGGCATGTGCACTACATGGAGAGAGAGAGAGAGAGGGAAAGTAAGAAATCACGGCCCAGTGGGATGGCTATACCACAATCCTTTCTCCTCCATCCTCCTTGTGGGATTTTGAGCACATAAGTACTTCCGGTGTATTTCTCAAGCCACTGGTATAGGACTCAAACTACAGAGCTGATCATGCAAGATTCAGTGCCTTAACCACTATATCACCTGTTGGCCCCTTTTTATTGATTTATAAAAACACCTGCCAGCCTAGATTTCCAAAAGCAGTGTTTCACCATGCTACATATCAAAATTCAGAACAAAAAGTGTTGTATTAGATTGTAGACTAAAATCCTATTCACTTTAAGTTTAATTCATTGTTTCTTCAGTATATATGGCACTGGGTCTGGGACTCGAGCCCTGGTCAGCCATTTGGGAGTCAAGGGTCTTTATTACCACACCACACTAACTCCAAAATATATATTCTTAACACTGAGAGCCAAGTCATGTCTGTAGACATTTCATAAATATAGAGGTTAACTCTTTAAATTCTTGTTCTCTTCATCTTCAAAATCTGGCAAATATCTTCAGAAGGAGACTTCTGGGTCTGCTGAATGCTTTGGCCTCCAACACCACACACTTTAGAATTGGACAATGGCCTCAAATGGTGAAAGTGTTCATTTATTTAAGTCCATAAATTTTTCAATATATTATTCGAACTCTGCCAGACAGCCATTAATGTTTTTGATTTATTTGACAGAAGCAACTTTCTACCAAGATCATGCTCAGAGTCTCTTCTCTGCCCAAAGGTCAGATGTAGCAGTAGATCACAGACTTATAGATATTGGTGTCATTTCTGAAAATTTGTCTTTTTTTTCCTTCTTTTTTCTTTCTTTCCTTTTTTTTTTTTTTTTAAAGAGAGCTTTGCTATAGGACACGTGCACTCAGCAGAGAGACAGAATGAGAAATAACCCTCTCTCCCCCAGGAGGATGGCCATGCTGCAATCTCTTTTGCTCCATTCTCCTCCCAGGATCTTGGGCATGTATGCACACGTGGCCAACTTATTTCAAGCTGCCAGGTCCAGGACTCAAATCATGGTCGGTCATGTGGGTATCCAGTAAGGTAACCATTATGCCATCTCCTGGTCCAAACGTTTCTCTTCTTTACGGAATGTTAATTTCTCTAGTCTCATTGCATAGCAAGAATCTGTAATCTTTAAAAGTAAGGTGTTCTTATGCTCAAATCTGGCTTTCTTTTGAACTGCCTGCCTTGTTTCTGCCAAAAATATCAAGGGTACTAATTGAAATAGAGGGAACAATAGTCTATACATTTCTTCATGACTTATACCATGTCTTAATTGGACTATTACACAACATTTTTTTCTTCATATCACTCATAATAGTTTTGCTTCCATTATCAAATTCTAAAATGTGCATTATCCTTTCTGCTATTTTTAAAGCTCATGGAAGAGGATGTATTAATACATTAAAGGTGAAACATTTGTCTTATTGTTTAAATGATAGGGATTTTATTAAATATAATTAATGCTCCATGAAAAAATCTTGTTATTAACTTGTGTCTTAATCAATTACTGATAACACTTTCTGTAGAAAATCTCTGTAGCTTCTACTGATATGAATTCAATTTTCTTTTTCATCAATTTTGCACATTTTAACTATGGTTTTAATAAAGAGTAAAGAAAATGATTTAACTTATCTTTCTATAATTTTGTATCATAACTAATGTAAGAATAAATCATCAGTATGGTTCAGAGTACATCTTGAAAAAAATTAGGTATTTTTTCTCTAAAAATATTTCATTTAATAAATTTTCTATTATTAGTTATTTTCTAAAGTATCAGTTATGCCATTGTTTTTCTTATTAGTATATTAAATGTTGCATGCAAGTGGGTCATGGGGAGAAGACAAGGAATAAATGTTTTATTTAAAAAAGCATGTATTATGATTCGATATTTAAGTTACCAGTGAATAAAGAATTATAGTTTGTCATAATATAAATGTCAATAATCCAATATGTTAAATAGATTTTTCTTTTGTATTGAGGAACAAAAGTGCTCCACTAATAAATAAATTAGCTTTTGAGATTTATTTCAAGCTGAGCCCAGACATTGTTTATCTATTTGTAGAAAAAACAGAAAAAGGTGCTTGAAAAACCACTTGTATGTCGATTTGAGAGAAAAAGAGACAGAAAGAGATCTAAAAGTGCTTATTCTTGTTGTTAAATGTACATGGGTTTAGATGTGAGCAGGGTCTTTTCTGAGAGTGAAATATCAAAAATAAATATGAGTAAGGATGAAGTACACATTTTTGGAAAAAAAACATTTATAATATACAATATTGAAGGAATTATTTCCATCTGTTTTAAGGTTAAACCAGTATTGTTTAGATAAACATACACTATCATTGGCAATCAAAAGGTCAGAAATTTTTCTACACATGTATATACAGGAGGAAAATTGAAGTCAAAATGGAATAAATGGAGAACAAAATCTAATGAAAAATATAAGTTGAATATTTAAGTGGATGAAGAAATAAAATAATGTTACTATTATTTTACATAAATATTTTCTTTAGAGACTATGAACTTCTTTATGATTAAATTTTATTTGAGAAATATTTTTTCACCATGTTCTTAAAGGACTGTTTTACCTGTTGGTTCCTCAGGGAGTAAATAAAAGGATTTAGCATTGGGGCCACAGACGTGTTGAGCACTGCTATGCCCTTGGTGAAAGCCATTCCTTCTTTAGCTGATGTTTTGACATACATGAAAATGCAGCTTCCATAAGAAATAGAGACAACAATCAGGTGTGAGGAGCAAGTGGAAAAGGCCTTTTTCCTTTGCTCAGCAGAAGGGATTCTCAGGATTGTCCTAAGAATTAATGCATAGGAAAGAATCACTAAGGTCAAGGTGACCATGAGAGTGAACACTGCCAGGAAAAATGCCATGAGTTCTAGGAATGTTGTGTCTGAGCAGGAAAGCATTAGTAGAGGAGAAGAGTCACAGCTGAAGTGGTCAATGATGTTGGAGGCACAGAAATCCAGCTGAAGCCCCATGATGATAGGTGGAAAGATGATGAGAAATCCAGCCACCCAAGAACTAAGAACAAGCTGGATGCAGACTCTGCTGTACCATGTCTTAATTGGACTATTACACAACATTTTTTTCTTCATATCACTCATAATAGTTTTGCTTCCATTATCAAATTCTAAAATGTGCATTATCCTTTCTGCTATTTTTAAAGCTCATGGAAGAGGATGTATTAATACATTAAAGGTGAAACATTTGTCTTATTGTTTAAATGATAGGGATTTTATTAAATATAATTAATGCTCCATGAAAAAATCTTGTTATTAACTTGTGTCTTAATCAATTACTGATAACACTTTCTGTAGAAAATCTCTGTAGCTTCTACTGATATGAATTCAATTTTCTTTTTCATCAATTTTGCACATTTTAACTATGGTTTTAATAAAGAGTAAAGAAAATGATTTAACTTATCTTTCTATAATTTTGTATCATAACTAATGTAAGAATAAATCATCAGTATGGTTCAGAGTACATCTTGAAAAAATTTAGGTATTTTTTCTCTAAAGATATTTCATTTAATAAATTTTCTATTATTAGTTATTTTCTAAAGTATCAGTTATGCCATTGTTTTTCTTATTAGTATATTAAATGTTGCATGCAAGTGGGTCATGGGGAGAAGACAAGGAATAAATGTTTTATTTAAAAAAGCATGTATTATGATTCGATATTTAAGTTACCAGTGAATAAAGAATTATAGTTTGTCATAATATAAATGTCAATAATCCAATATATTAAATAGATTTTTCTTTTGTATTGAGGAACAAAAGTGCTCCACTAATAAATAAATTAGCTTTTGAGATTTATTTCAAGCTGAGCCCAGACATTGTTTATCTATTTGTAGAAAAATCAGAAAAAGGTGCTTGAAAAACCACTTGTATGTCGATTTGAGAGAAAAAGAGACAGAAAGAGATCTAAAAGTGCTCATGCTTGTTGTTAAATGTACATGGGTTTAGATGTGAGCAGGGTCTTTTCTGAGAGTGAAATATCAAAAATAAATATGAGTAAGGATGAAGTACACATTTTTGGAAAAAAAACATTTATAATATACAATATTGAAGGAATTATTTCCATCTGTTTTAAGGTTAAACCAGTATTGTTTAGATAAACATACACTATCATTGGCAATCAAAAGGTCAGAAATTTTTCTACACATGTATATACAGGAGGAAAATTGAAGTCAAAATGGAATAAATGGAGAACAAAATCTAATGAAAAATATAAGTTGAATATTTAAGTGGATGAAGAAATAAAATAATGTTACTATTATTTTACATAAATGTTTTCTTTAGAGACTATGAACTTCTTTATGATTAAATTTTATTTGAGAAATATTTTTTCACCATGTTCTTAAAGGACTGTTTTACCTGTTGGTTCCTCAGGGAGTAAATAAAAGGATTTAGCATTGGGGCCACAGACGTGTTGAGCACTGCTATGCCCTTGGTGAAAGCCATTCCTTCTTTAGCTGATGTTTTGACATACATGAAAATGCAGCTTCCATAAGAAATAGAGACAACAATCAGGTGTGAGGAGCAAGTGGAAAAGGCCTTTTTCCTTTGCTCAGCAGAAGGGATTCTCAAGATTGTCCTAAGAATTAATGCATAGGAAAGAATCACTAAAGTCAAGGTTACCACAAGAGTAAACACTGCCATGACAAATCCCAGGAGCTCTAGAAAGGCTGTGTCTGTGCAGGAGATGAGCAGCATAGGAAAGGTATCACAGCAGAAGTGGTCAATGATGTTGGAGGCACAGAAATCCAGCTGAAGCCCCATGATGACAGGTGGAAAGATGATGAGAAATCCAGCCACCCAAGAACTAAGAACAAGCTGGATGCAGACTCTGCTGCTCATGATTGTCGTGTAGTGCAGTGGCTTACAGATAGCCACATAACGATCATAGGACATAGCCGTCAAAAGGAAAAATTCAGTTGCACCAAAGAGTATGAAGAAAAACACCTGAGCCAGGCAAGAATTGTAAGAAATGGTTTTATCCCCTGTTACAATGCTAACTAGAAATCTGGGAATAGAAACTGTTGTGAATGAGATTTCTAGGAAAGAAAAATTCCTAAGGAAGAAATACATGGGCGTTTTGAGGTGTGAATCTATCAGGGTGAGGGTGATAATTGTCAGATTCCCAGTTATACTCAATATATATGTGAAAAATAGAAATATAAAAATCAGAATATTTAGATTTGGATCATCTGTTAATCCCAGAAGAATGAACTCTTTCACAGATGTACGATTTTTCATTTTTTATTATTGTTGATTTCTTCCAGGTCTAGAAATAAAAACAGGGAAGATAATTTTCTGAGTACATGGTTATATATTATCACATCTCCTAAGTTAAAAAAAAAGTAAGACCTATAATAAAATAATAGATAAGCCACCAAATTGTATTGAATTTTGAAATTATATAATAATCACAAATACACACACACACACGAAATCTGTGTTCAATAACCCTTTAGAATGGAAGTAGCCATTTAATATAGAGATAATTTATAGGTCTAATAAATGCATCTTTATAAGAAAAATTTACATGCTAAATGACTTACTTAAAAATTTTATTATTTGTGAGTGAACACTAGATAAAAACCTTTAAAGTATATATTTTTTTTTATTTTTAAAATGGTATGCCTATCACCACATGTCTTATTTTCCTGGTAATAAAATATCTGGAAGTTTTTTATTTATACATAATTGCTATACATATTTATGGTGAACGGTGTGATTTTTTAACACATGAGTGAAATGATTAATGATCTAATCAGGTTAATGAGCATATCTAGATCATCAAACATTTATCATTACTATTGTTGTGAAGAAACAGAACTTCTGTTAACTATTCTGAAAGTATGATAAGTCTTTGCTAATTTTGTTAGACTGTTTTACTATAGAATATTGGAAATTATTTCTCTAATATAAATGTAGTTTTTTATTTACTTATCCCCTTCTTTCTCCTTCCTTATCAGGTCTTTATTTATCACTATTTACTCTCTATAAAATTTATTGTTTTAGTTATTTTTCACAGTTCAAGTTATTGTCAGTCATGCGTATTTATTGACAAAGAAACTGCTTCTTCCTCTAGAGCTCATTGAAAAGCATTTATAATAGAAAGATTAATAAGAAAAAAGTTATACAGATTTACTTTAACATTTACTGTATATAGGAGAGCTATATGATAAATGAACTCAGAAGATAGGACAGGTATTTGCTACAGTCTAAATACCCTTTCATATCAGAGAGGAAAGAGAGGAATTCATCAGCTTGATATTTAGACAGTTGTTCATACATGCTTCTCTTTGGAAGCCAGTGAGACCAGCAGTAACAGAAAGGTGGGGGACAAGTGGCAAAACAACATGGGAACTAATATTGTCGTACATAGGTAAGGGTTCTTAGATAATCATTCTGAGGTGACCTGGGAGGAGTAGGGATCTTGTGGGTGGAGGGAGACTTTTCAGTTTCCTTGTATCTGGTTGCTTAGATTAGATCTAGGGATGAGTTTTAAGACAATTGCTTTTCGATTGGAAAGAAATTCTCAATCAGTAAGTGGTTCAAGAAAGCTCCTCCTTGTTTTTACAGTAGAGTAGAAGAAATAAGGTCACACACAGCTTGATTCTGCTTCTAAGAGCTCAACATATCAAAGCACCACTCTTTTTTTTTTACATTATTTTATTTAATTTTATTCATTTTCATTATTTTATTTATTATTTTTTTTTAAGTTGACCAGAGAGACACACAGAGAGAGAAGGAAAGTGAGAAAGCAAGCCACCAGGTCCAGGACTTGAACCACAGTCAGTCATGTGGGAGTGTCCAGTGCCTTAATCACCACACCAACCTCTGGTCCCTCAAAGCACCACTCTTTGAGGTGCTGGGTTTCTTAACTCAACAGCTAATTAAAGAATTAATAATTTATCAAACTAATCAGGTCCAACAACACAATATTGATATAATCCTAACAACACAAAATTGATATAATCCTAAAGAAATAAGCATAGAATTTACAAAGTAAAAAACCTTTTGAAGTTATTTTCTTCTGAATAAATGTAATAATGATTTATTACTTTATAGAACAGCTTCTAAGGACCAAATTTAAATGCTCTAAGTTATAAATGGGTTAGAAAATAGATTTTTCTTTATTTTAATAGACTTCAATATTTGATATTTTATTTTGAATCATTTTATAAACCTTATCTGTTTTCTACCTTGTATTTTCTTACATAATGACCTACCTATATAATGAGTAGATGGAGTTCGACTAGATGGTCCTGGTCATATGCAGTGAGATGAAATGTACTGTAGTAATGAGCCCAATAGAAAACCTATTCTGAAGCGGGGGAGTTCCTCATGGGAAGGTGACATAATCCCAGTTGATGCCAGAAGGTGCTACAAGCAGACCATGACAAAGTATCCAAGAAGTTCTGCAACTAGTGATCCAGGAAAGAGTAGGAGACATGGTGAGAAATCTGGGTGTCCCAGTCAATGGCAAAAGTTGGAAAGTCTGAACTCACATAGTACTACCAAAGCTTTCATCATTAACACGTTCTTCAGCACTAATTTGTTGTATAGACCAAAAGCAAGAGGCTGTGGAAATGGATAGACAGCACAGTGTACAGTTTGCAACTAGTTAAAGAGGAAGAGTTCAGAGCAAAGCAAACTTTCATGAATTGATAAAATAAGAGTCTCAATAAAAAAAAAAAAAGAGTGAAAGAGAAGGATTGATGGAAGGAATTCATAAAGGGGGGAGGGAGCACAGAATAGAGAGAGGGAAAGCAGAAGGGGGAAAAAAAACAGAGGAAAAGAAGGAAAGAAAAGGAAAATAAGAATGAAAGAAACAAAATAAAAGGTAGAACCCTGGTGAGAATTAGGGCAAATACAGTGAAACAGGCAACTAGAAGGGATAACGGTGAATATTCTGCTTGTTAATTAAGCGTACCTCTTGGTCCCTATGAAAAATAGAGATGGAAGGATGAATCAGAATAAAAAAGCATTAACTGTGGAAAGGAGATGAGCAACCTGCATAGGAATGAAAACTGTGGGGGAGAACTTCCTTGAAACAAACAAGAAAGGACTATCCCAAACACAAGACCCGAAGGCAGACCTTTAATAGCTCCTGTTTCTCAAAATTTCTGTAG